ACATTTATATTAGACCTTCAATGTCATCAAGAAATTAAATCCACTTTCAAATGCAATCTACAAAATGTAACTGCAAGTGATAATCATAGACTTGATCCTCCGCAATGAAGTTGGCAAAGGCAAAAAGGTTCATAATAGCAAAATAAAAATCTTAAGAAACCTTAGATATGGTCGTGTTGAAAATCAATGTCCATGGAAGCATACCCTGTCCTCAAAATGCCCTCAAACCTCAAAGCAAAATCATTTGGGTTTTAAAATGCCAACAAAAATTCAAAAATCATCATAAAATTTATTATGTTCAAGTGAAATCAAGGCGTTAAATTAAAAAATAAACTTAGCCACAAAGAGTCAATGTCATGTCAACCTTCTCGTTGTGTCACTCTCAAATAATCTCTCGCCAATAAGAATATGACGCATATCTTCTAACCAATGATTTTGCAATCAAACGACACCACAAATAAATAGTTATGACGGAGACCCTCTGATCAAGTGATTTAGTTGCAAAATGACACCATTAAATTACGATCATGGGTAGAGCTTATAAGTTCCCCAATGGCTCAAAAGCTCTTGATTAGTGAATCATGTAATATACTTTAGCTAAGGCCAACTTAAATTCAGCCCCTTAGACAAACATTCACCCTACGTCTATAAAATCTTCTTAGACAACGCAATCCATGGCTGTCGACAATAATCATTTGGTTAGATTAGGGACTACCTCCTCTAACAAAATAGACCACCATGAAAAGTCGAGACAACGAAACTATAAGATCTTGATCGAGTTCATCACCATTTCCCCCACCATCAATATTAAGTTTAAGGTGGTAAATTTCTCAATTCTAAGCCAAATTTGCAGCTACTACACACTAAGCACTTAGTGTCTAATGAGTAGCCTTAATTGAAAGTTCTACCATCACCGAGAGGGTTAATTAACCATATGGGCTTAAGCCTATAATAAACTTGAAATCAGATATCAAAGTCTTCACAAAATAAGGGTGAAATATCAGGGTAGTGCCTTACCTACAACCCAAATTGTCTTATGAAAATTTTACCTGAACACCCAAAACTCTCTTAGTAGAGCTACACATGAATTTTCGAAGCCCACACACATTCACTTTCCTGTCAATTCAAGAAGCGGATGTCATCTTAGGCATAGCTAAGGCAACTTGGTGCTATCCTTACCGATTACAAAACTCTCGCCATGAGTTTTATATAACAAGTTAGCCAACGCATATTGCAGAGGAATACATTAATTGAACTAAATCCAATTCCATTTGAGCAATTGCTGAAGCAAGCCTCTAATTGTTCCATTGCCTTGCTTTAAATTGTTGGCACTAAATCCTCCAAACAGCACACCAGAGACGACTTCACATTCTTTTTCCCCTGAACTCTCTCATGTCCCCGCTAAGTAGATGAACTTATTTGCCAAACAAACCATTTTTATTATTCAATTTTATTTAAATGTCTTTGGTTTTCAGCTGCCTTTGAGAAAATGCATTCCATCTTAAGAAATTTAAATGTCTCTTCGGACAAACACATATTGAATATTTGAGACACCGTTTAATTAGCAGAAGTTCAACCACACAATAAAATAATTAAGGACATTCCTCACTAGCCCAACGCATGGTCAAGGCTCTTTGTAACTTCTTGGGCCTAGCCAGCTGATATTAAAAAAAAAAAAAAAGTGTGGCTTTGCAAGCATCACAAGACCTCTCATAACCATCTTTCAACATGACCAATTCCAAAGGATGACTGCACAGAAAAAACCATTGCTACACTCAAACAAAGGTTCACAACACCAATGTTAACACTACCATATTTCATCAAATCTTTTGCCATTAACACAGACATCACTGACATCGACATCGGTGTTATTCAAGACTCCAACTCAATCACTTTCGATGGTAAGAAGCTCAACCAGAAAAATGCAACAATCCTCAACTTACGTTACAAGATGTTCGCTATCACGAAGGATATAGCTAGCTGGATGCAATATTTACTAGGTTCGCACCTCATCATTCAGATAGACCAAAAAATTATCGATGAAATATGGATCAAGTTATACATACTTCGGAGCAACATCATTTCCGAAAGAAAAGCCCAGTCATGGTTTCTGATGCAATCAAAAATTTGGGAGAGGGACCCAAATTTTTTATCACAAAAGAGATAAAAGAACTTACAAAACTTATAATAATTAGACAAATTAAACAAAACAAAACACAATTTTAATATTATAAAAACTATTACAACTTGAACACTTACAAACGACTCAAATCTCTTACAAATGACTCTTACAAGACACCTAAAGTTGCTTTCCAAGAGAAGAAGGATACAATGGAATGATTACTATGGAGAGAAGAAAGAGATTAGAAGACGAGACGAAGATTGGAAAGAGCCCGCAGGATTTCCGAAGGTGGAAGAGGGAATGGACAAAGCTCGCAAGCTTTTCCAAACAACAAACCCGCAGGTTTTATCTCCAAAAATCACTTACATAAACTTACATAAACTTAAACTTATAACACTTTACAACATCATCTCATATATATAGGCCATAGAGGGGAAACATAACAGCCAAAAGTTCCCAAATTCCCATATAGAAATGAAAGGCCAAGAACCTTCCCCGCTGAAATCCCAAGAGCCACATCAAAATTCCAATGAATAAAGCCACGGAACCAGCCAGGAACAAGCACAAG